CCCCCCACACACACACACACACCCCAGCAGTAGCTGCCTCCAGCTGTGCTAGAAAACATGCTTTTAGCATTTTCTCTCTCTCTGTAATTTGGACTTGCAGGATTATAATCTGATATCCGGGGAGTCTTTGCAGACTGAGGATGAGATCTGGAGCCACTCAAGAAGAAGAAGAAAGAAAGGCACCTCCTTTGTAGGAGGAGGGTAGAGGCAGTTTTAAAAGAAAGCACACACACACACACGCAAATAAATAAAAGTATCATAAATAATAATAATAATAATAATAATAATAATAATAATAATAATAATAATAGTAGTAATAGTATGGAGAAGAATAAAAAACCTGACTGGAGGTATTCTCAGTTATCAAAGGGGCAGGCTTTTTTTAGGGTGGGGTCGCAGCTTTTTTTGCTGGAGGGGAGGAGAGCGAGAAGATGTAGAGGAGAGAGGAGTGCTGATCTAAAAGTGGTGGTGGAGGAGGAGGAGAGTGTGAAGGGAAGAAAAGGAGGAGAGAGGGATGGAGTGAGGGAGCGAGGGTGGGGGTTGGTGGGGAGGGGCCTAAAGGGTGGGCTTGTAGTCATTGTCAGGCAAGCGAGTAAGAGCAGACCGAGTGAGGAGCGTGTGTGCAAACTGGGATGAGTAAATGCACCGGGCAGTTTAGCTGTTGAAACAGCCACAGTGAGAGAGAGAGAGAGCGTGTGTGTGTGTGTGTGTGCACGAGAGTGAGAGTGTGTGCACGTGAGAGAGGGCGTGAGCATAGAAGAAGAAGAGGTGAAAAGGAAGAAAGAAGCAGAGAAGCAGAAAAAAGGGAGGATACTCCAACTCCAACCATGCTGTGCTGCATAAGAAGAACCAAACCGGTAAAGTGTTTCTGATTTGCTTCTTCAGCATCTTCACCTCCTTCTCCCTTTTTTTAAATTGTTCTTTTTTTTTTACACTCTAAACGATTCCTCTCTGCTGTGAACTTTGGGAGCTGCCTTGTAAAGTCTGATAAGTTTGTCTTGGGGGATGAGATTAGGGGGGAAAAACCCCTGTTGGGGTTGACTCAAGAGCTGAGCTTGTCTTTAGAAGAATCTCTCCACAAAGCCCCGACACGCCTAGTTAATGTGATTATCCTGCTTGAATGGATGTTGCCTCTCAGACCTCACACTGTTCTCACATGGAGTCACAAGACTTGATCTCTGCCGGCCGGCTTTTATTGATCCAACACTTAAAACTAAAAAAAAAAAAGTTAAAGATTATTGAAAGGCACTTGACAGATGAATGTTCAAATCTCCAGCACCACTGAGCTCAGCTCGTTAATGAGGCTTTATAATAATTAGCGTCCTCCTAATGGATGCTTTAATTGGAGTGTGTTTTTATAATTTTGTTGCACTGGAGCATAATTGGTGACACGGGGAAGAACGCTTTTTTTTTCTCCCAGTGTGGAAGGAAAAGAGAAAAAAAAGGGTGGGGTACGGATGGAGTGAGTGGCACCATCATGTCAGTGGCCTCGTGGGAATACAACGGGAATAAATGAGTATAAATGGATTATCACAGCCCTCCAGCTTTACAAGTGGATGCAGTCAGTAGAGGCTTGTGTGGAGTGTGCGCTCATTTAAAGGGAGTTAAAGGGTACTTTATAATAACCAATGTCCAGACTCAGGAGAGGAGAAGAATGATGAAAAAAAGAGATGTGACAGAAAAGAGGCGGTAGCAGCTATCATGGTGGTTCTCTCTCTGTGTGTGATCAGCCTTGTTCCTGCTGCTTTTCTCTGACTTGATTAGGATTTTTATTTATTTTTTTATCGGCCTCACAACCGGCAGGATTCTGATGGGACTTGATTGCTTCTTAAATGTCAGCCTGGATGAGTCATATTAGTTCTGGCGTGGAGGAGCGAGAGCTGAGGCAGCAGGACTTTCTCTTTTTTTTTTTTTTTTTTTTTTTTTTTTT